TTAGTTAAAATATTAGCTATTGACCACAACATTACGTCTTTATGGATGCGGCACCTAAACCAAGACCCGATCGAGAATTTCTTTGGGGCCATAAGAAGCCATGGCTGCCGTAACACAAATCCAACGCCAGCAGCATTCGAATCAGCGTTAACTACCTTATTGGTCAATAACCTGTCCAGTGTCCATGCCCCTGGAGCAAATTGTGAAGAAGACCAATGCACTGCACTACATGCCCTCATTGTTACAAAAAATAGCGAAAATGCGACGACTAGTGATATCTTTTTAGATATTGTAAATGAGATTACCCTTACACCGTTAGAGGAAAAAAGTCAGCCCCAAATAATGGGGCCCCTACAATATATTTCGGGATATTTTTTAAAAAAAACGAAAAATAAAATATTTAGGTCCTGCGAAATTTGTAAGGGTAATCTCTATAGCGAAATTGAAAATGATTTTATTAGAAGAAGAGAATTTGCCAATCGTCGTTGGCTTTCCAGCCCTAGCCCAGATTTTTTAACATGCATATCTAACATGCAAGATATTATATATAAAATATTAAGTAATAATTTAAAACAAAAAGCTCTCAGGGAATACATAAAAACAATTATTCTTTTATTTTTAGATTTTAATTTTTTAACATGCTCTGAACATAAAGATAAATTAATAGAATTTTTAATTAATTTAGTATGTCGATTTTTTATATTTACATATTGTAAGAATATAAATAAAATATTATCTGGTAAAAAAGATATTGACAGTGACGAGGACGTAATGCAGTGCAAAGCAAAAAAGTATTTTAAAAGATGATTTAAGAGAAAAAATTGACATTATCTTAATAATGCATTGTTGGCACAATATTAAGATAATGTCTAAATAAAATAAAACTGGTTATGTATTAGAAAATATAACTATAAAATATTTTATTTTGACCTACTACGACGACTATTATACCAATGCAAAATAAATTATTAAGATTATAATAATAAGGGTTTTATTTTCTGCAGCCTTAAGTAATCCCTTAATTTATTCATACGCGTTAGTCTGAGTAAATTACGGGGTTAATAAAAATAAAATAACTGAATTTATAATAAAAACCTGCCCGAAAGCATGAATGGTGGTAGACGTATAGCTATTTATATAATTATATATATAGCAGGAAAGTTGTATGTTTGTAGTTACAGATGGCGCCACCAATCGCTTTCCTTCTGAACCCGTTGAGTAAAGCCTCTATTCCTATATATATAAAAGTACTCTGTGGCGCTCACTGACTTCATCAAGCCCGTGAGCAGTATATACGCCCAGATTTTAAAATAATTTCTTAATAAAATCAAATTTTGGTCTTTTGAAAAAAATTTTACTATAGAAATGTTCATTAATAAATTGCCTATCCATTGGTGTAAATCGCAAAATAAAATAATACTTACTTTACGAGGAGATGCATGTTATCAATAATAATTTCACATTTATGTGGTTTCGTTGTAAGGAGATTATATTAATATTTATTCCTTTAAAAAAAAATTGGATATAGCTTTTATGGAATCAAGATTATGTAGAAATATAATGTGTTTTTTATTTGTTGATATATCTTTTAAATAAAAAGTAGATAGCTCCTAAAAACCGCCCAAATAACGACTAGCGCGACATTTTGCTCAACCTGCGCCTTAATAGAAATTTAAGCAATAGATTGGGATATTTAGTAGGTAAATAAGATTCCATGATATATTCTAAGGAGGATCCCTATTTTTTCTACCGACTTCAAAAAGGAGACTGTAGTTAATTCGACTGTATGTTTTTAATGTGTGTTATCTCATAACTTTTTCTGGGTGAACCGATTTCGATAATTCTTTTTATTTGAAAGCTGGTGCTTCTCATGTGGTCCCATATAAATTTGATCAAGGTCTGTCCAATAGTTTTTGAGTTATTCTTATTGATTTATATTGAAGTCGGCTGTACAAAATTTTCAGTATTTATCATTCAAAATTTAAGTAACTAGGTTTAAGTCATTGTTTTATATACATAATATTATTTTGTTCTATCCTAAATTTTTGTATTTTATGTATTTAGAATTACTAGGTATTTAATTTTTTTCATCAAAATTATATGAAACGCTCATGAGGCGTGCACTTTAGGGTTTTCCAATTTTTTTTTTAATTTTTCATTTAGACTACGTACCTACGTAGCCATATCTAAATTTACGTACCTATGTGTCATCTTTTTTTATAGGATAGGGTGACAAACGAGCACACAGTCCACCTGATGGTAAGTGGTTGCTGTGGCCCATAGACATCTACATTTATCCTCGTTTGCGAATCAAAATGCAGATGCGTTGTCACCCGTGAGGACTAAGATACACTACACTCTACACTCACCATATGAAACACAGCAACATGAAGCTGCTATTTTACGCTGGTATTCTGTGAGAGCGTGGTCCTTCCCCGGTCGAGCCGACCCATTCGTGCTACAACTATACTACTAATATAGCTGCAGCATGGCTCTACCACGTAATCATCTAATCAATGTATAGAAAAATGATGTACCTGTGTCAAAGTTGTTTTTCTGATAATATCATTTTTCTCTTTTCGGTGGTGTTCAGTAAGTTTTTTGTTTGAAAATGGGAGAAACGTAGGGTTATGGTGTCGGTGCACAGAGTTTTAATTTCTCAGTTCACCACATGTGTTCGAAGAAAGTATCTTAAAAAGTAAAATTGTTATTTTTTTTAATACGTTTTTAATACTAATCCTTACCTTTGGCAAGTACATGTGTGATAATTGTCTCAAGGTGTTCCTAATATTTTAATCAAAAGTATAGTAACGGTAAAGAGTTTTACCTGCATTATTGAAGATGAAGGAGATAAGGCGGGAATTTAATTCTCAAAATACCACCCCTGCCTTAAAATCTGTCGCCCGGGACTATCGCGCCGCCCCTATATTGCGTTTGTTGGCAAAGGCAAAAACATGAAGATGAAGGTCGCCTTACCATCTATAATCTATTATTCTATTTCCCTGACTATTGCTAACAATGATTTCGGATGACCCCAGGTATTATTATTATTTATTGCAAAGGATTTATTATCTGTTTTGTTCGTTCGCTTGTAGCTTGGTTGGTTTTTTGATGTTTTGGAAGCGAACATGTAGATTTCTTGACTCGAAGCATGATTATTCGTCATTTTTGGCTTTGGAATGCCGTTGCGTTCAAGCATCTGGGAATGTTGTAGTTGGATAGGAAAATGTTGAGCACAGGTAAAGTGTGGGGGGAGGGCGCTTGACGTCTTTGGAGGTGGCGCTTATTGTATCTTATATGTATTGTTTTCGTTTTTGTTTGTACAGTAGGGCTACGATGACTGTCCGAGTACCAAACCTGAGTACGAAACCTATCCAACTGCAGAGAGGTGTCAAACAGGGTGACGTTATATCTCTGAAACTCTTCACCGCTGCATTGGAAGACGTTTTCAAGCTACTGGACTGGAAAGGATATGGTTTTAACATCAGTGGCGAGTACATCACTCACCTTCCGATTTGCCGATGATATGGTTCTTATGGCAGAATTGCTGGAGGACCTAAGCACTATACTCAATGAACACAATAGTGTCTCCCAACGGATAGTTCTTAAGATGAACATGGACAAAACAAAGATCATGTATAATGTCAATGTCACACCTATGCCGCTAGTTGTTGGGAGCACTAAGCTCGAGGTTGTTGAGTATGTTACCTGGTATAAATAGTCCGACTAGATAAGTCAACCAAGAGGTCAGTCGACGATTTCAACTCGGCTGGGCAGCGTTCGGGAAATTACGACACATCTCGTTAGGTATACTTACCTCAAAACCTGAAAACGAGATTGTACAACCAGTGCGTGTTGCCTTATGGATCTGAGATGTGGTCCTTCACTGCTGGCCATATGAGGACGGTCATGGTCGTCAGCGAGTTTCTTTGCGTGATAAACGTAGAAATGAGAATATCCGCAGTAGAACCAGAGTGACCGACATAGCCCAACGGATTAGTAAGCTGAAGTGGCAATGGGCCGGCCATATAGCTCAAAGAACCGACAATCGATGGGGAAGAAAGGTTCTCGAGTGGCAGCCACGTACCGGTAGGCGAAGTGTAGGGCGACGCCACACTAGATGGAGTGACAACTTGGTAAGACATGCAGGAAGTCGATGGATACACGTGGCTCAGGACCGTGCTTTGTGCCATTCCTTGGGGAGGCCTATGATCAACAGTGGATTTGTAAAGGGCTGTAATGATGATGATGATGATGATGAACGGTCCCAGGCTTTGACCTTTTGACCGTAAAATTTTTCATTAATAAGATATCCGGGGAGCTCGATTTTTAAATAATAATACCTCAAGGAGACTTCGAAGGCTGAGAGGTAAAGAGGGAAACAGTATAAGTCGATGACGTCGGGAATCTGATCTAAGTGATGTGATTAATGGGAATTCGTTTTCGTTTCCACTCGAGCCTACGATAGTCAACCAAAGTTTTAGTGGGAAGGACTTCAATGACCAAATACCCTAGTACCATAAGGTCCGGGCGATGATCCAAGCGCAATTCATGTAACACTTCTATGGAGAGCCGCGCTATTTTGATTCATGATTTAGATTTTCTGAGATGTTAGTATTTACTATATTATATTTACGTGGTAGAGCCATGCTGCAGCTATATTAGTAGTATAATTGTAGCACGAACCGACCCGGTTCGATCGGGGAAGGACCACAGAATACCAGCGTAAAATAGCAGTTTAACGGCTGCTGTGTTTCTTATGGTGAGTGTAGAGAACCCGATACCCTTTCTACTGAAAACGAGGCATTCCATCTTAGTCCTCACGGGTGACAACACATCTGCATTTTGATTCGTAATCGAGAATAGATGTAGATGTCTAAGGACCACAGCAACCAATTACCATCAGGTGGACTGTGTGCTCGTATGTTACCCTATCCTATAAAAAATAATTCAAAAGGGTTCTGAAAAGAACTGTTCTCGCTAAGGGAAAAAAGATAATAACAAAATAATAAAAAGTTTATTCTTTCCTCTCACAAATAAACAGTAAATATATGCGTTTACAATCAATTAATAAATAATAAATAGTAAATCTTATGATTTTTACAGGCTCATTTATATCGTTTAATGTTTACATTTATAACCAAACTCTATATATCTTTATATTCAGACCAATGAGGGCTAATAATTTTCTGCTCACCAGATGTCGCTAGTTGACACTGAGGTAAAGTTTTTTGTTACACAATGTAATTTAATTGAGAAGTTGTTTTTTAATAAAAGTTTATCAGTTTCCAGAGTATCATATTAATACACAGAACAATGCGTCAGTGGTTTGCTTTTTAATTTCTTGCACATTTTTAACTATTTTTTAATTGTTCTACTTTTATGAATATCTGTGGTTTGGTTTATTTATTTTTAATGTCATTAATATAAAATATATCTAATAGTACAAAAAGAAACAATAACTTTTACATTTTCCGAACAAATTAACTTCTCCACTATGAAATCTGTCAAATATTATACCTCACTTTCTAGTGGCGTGGATACTCTTATTGCAAATCACGAATTCAAATATTTAATCAAATTTAATCTTCTTATGATTACAGTATGGTATTATTTTTTCACATCACAGTTGTTTATTCTATTATATTTTTGAAAGTAAAATAAAATGACAGATATAGAAAAATATGTTTATTTAAAAAAAAAAACAACATTATTCTAGGATTTTCTCCTGTGTCGTGAAGAAGCGTTTTGCATACATAAATATAACACGGACCAACTATAATAATAAGGTAAATCCAGACGTGTAACAAATAATTTGTAGGCCATACAAATATATGCTCTGTGGGGGATGTGAACCCGCAGCCCATAAGCGCCGCGGCTAAACGCTATCGAATCTATGATAAAATATATCTTGCTTTTCATGTACTTTTTGTATTTTAAATGTTTAATTCTAATAAATAATTATCACACGCACTCAAAGGCACAATCTATTCGTAAAGGTTTGGAATGTTACATTTTTTGTGTTTGATTGCTACTTTCAAAGTTATATTATAATACATCCGTAAAAATAAATCACTTGGCATGAAGTAGATTATATTAACTGCACTCTGGGTGATAAATTACAATTGAAATTATGTGGCGATGGACTGCAATAACCACTTAGATACTTAAGGTAAGTTTGTTTGTAAATGCAGTTCTAAAAAAAATACCATAGGTACAGAAATGCACACCTTTATCTTGTATCTTTCCATTCTTATTTGTTTTAACGAAGTAGTAACCACAGATGTTCGATGCCGCAAACCTCTGCGGTATGCATGCCGTGTGCAGTGCATATCCTCTCCCTTTCGTTTGATCTCATTTATGCATAACACATCTACTTGTTTACCATACATCCAGTACATCCTTTATTCATTGTATACTTCATTAATTCCTGCAGACATTTTCACTTTCAGCATAACCAAATGGGCTCCGCAATCCACTTTATGCACCACCGTGAGACAGAACGTAACGGGGCGAGCCACGTCGCTGGTTTTGCTTCGGGAGATTCTTAGCACCACTGCCTCATTAAAGGGGTGCCGGAAACTGGAAGCCTTTCTCCTCTTTCCACTTTTCTTCAAATAATGGTGCAAAAAAGGGGTCGTAGATTCTTACGCCACACGACCATGAGCCGGTTGGTTATCAGTATTGCAAATATGTGATTATTCATTACTTTCTGATCACCACTAGTATTAAGTAAACATTTAAACACTGGAAAGTCTTCAATTACAATTGCACAAGACTGATATGAACTGTTACTCCCACTAAACCCAACATCACCGCTTCAGGAATTCGAAGGGGGGTTCTCGTTCAAAGATTGCGACGAGGGTTTTAACTGTGGCAACATTTCAGCAACATTTTCTAAGATATCAGCCAAACGGTTAAAAATAGCGTTTCGATTTTCCTCCATTTGAATCCTTCTGGACTCCAATCGAAGTCTCTCCATCTCCCTCTCGTGATGATTGGCTTCCCGGTCTTCGTCCAATTGCGTGCGGCGTCGCTCGATGTCTACAAACGCACTCGTGGCGCGTTCGAATGGAGTTTGTGTCCTTCGTGTGTAAGCTTTATGGAGTCTCCGACGTCGAGACGTGGACGAAGTGGACACTGGCACAGTCGTACTGACGGCCCACGCTGGTGGTGCATCTGGAGGACGGCATCGAAACTCAGAGGCAGGGGCGGGAGATGCTACCGACCCTGAAGCAAAATAATTATATGGGTAGACTGGTAGAGAATGCGAATGACATTAAGTCCGCCCGTTGTATTCTTTTGTAATAGGGAATGCAATAAAGAATAAATAAATAAATAGTTTAGCACATGAACATAAAAAATTTGACATATATGAACGTAACTCTTTTTTATAGAGTAAGGGTGTTTCTAACGAACACACAGTTCATTTCATGGTAAGTGAATATTGTGACCCATAGACACCTAAATTTATCCTCGGTTAAGAGTCACATCATACCTGAGGAATAATATGGAATGCCTTGTTACGGGTCTTCGGTTTTCACAGAAGCGTTATGCGGCTATTCTGTGCGTACATTGTCTTTCCTCGGTCAAGCCGACCAATTCATGCTGAAGCTATAAATTTGCTACAGCATGGCTCTACCATGTAAAGAATGCTTATTATAAGTAAAATTTTAAAATATAAATTTTTCATTAATTATTGCAACTGACAACACTTATACCCTGTAAAAAGAATTTTAAAATGTTGACATTTTTTTTTAATTTCTCAAAAAAGCAACAATTTACAACTAAATGTGATGTATGTAGATTATATATTAAAAAAAAATCGCAAACAGACTTGCAGCCACGGCTCATTTTGAGGGGTGTCTTTTTATCTAATTTTTTTTTTCTATCTACTATATTTAATATAAGCGTCGAATCTGGTGTGTTTCCTGATTTAATGAAACATAGTAAAGTCATACCTATATTTAAATCTGGTAGTACATTAGACCCCGCCAATTTTAGACCAATTTCTGTACTACCAACATTAAGTAAAATTTTTGAAAAAATTATTTTAGATCAGATGTTAAGTTTCTTTAATATTAATAAATTGCTACATAAAAATCAATTCGGTTTTACAAGGGGTCGCTCGACAACTGACGCTGGAGTTGAGCTTATTAAACATATTTTTTGTGCATGGGAGAAATCAGACGATGCTTTGGGTATATTTTGTGACCTTTCCAAGGCCTTCGACTGTGTTCACCATGAGACATTAATCAGGAAGCTACAGTACTATGGTGTCAAGAACACAGCGCTTAAACTTATTATTTCATATTTAAGTAATAGAAAACAGAAGGTTATTATCAATGGTAAAAGTTCTTCCGGGTCACCTGTACTAATGGGTGTACCTCAGGGCTCGATTCTCGGCCCATTCCTGTTTCTGGTGTATATTAATGACTTACCTCACCTTGTAGGGGATAGTCATGATATAGTATTATTTGCTGATGATACTTCCTTGATTTTTAAACTTAAACGTCAATCATTTAAATGTGACGAAGTGAATAATGCTATATCAAAATTAGTGCATTGGTTTAACGTTAATAATCTGCATTTGAACGGAAATAAAACTAATTGTGTTAAATTTACAACAACGAATGTTCAAAATCTGAATACCAATGTGTTTTTAAATGGGGAGGAATTGAGCCCTGTTGTATCCACTGTTTTTCTTGGCATCACTCTTGACGCAAAGCTCCAGTGGGGCCCCCATATATCCAAATTAGCAAGCAGACTAAGTTCTGCAGCCTATGCTGTAAAAAAGATTAGAGGTCTCACTAGTGTCGAGACAGCTAGATTAGTTTATTTTAGTTATTTTCATAGCATAATGTCTTATGGGATTTTGCTATGGGGAAATGCGGCTGATTCAGAAACTATTTTTGTTTTACAGAAGAGGGCCATTAGAGCTATTTACAATCTAAAACCGAGAGAGTCTCTTAGAGATAAATTTAAAGAAATTAATATATTAACTTTGGCCTCTCAGTATATTTACGAAAATTTAATGTATGTTCACAAAAACAAAGATAGTTTTAGTAAAAAAAGTGATATACATTCTGTAAACACTAGGAACAAAAACAAGCTAGTGATGCCAGTTTCTCGACTCCACAGAGTCAGTAATTCATTCTTGGGGCAATGTATACGCTATTACAACAAGGTCCCGGAAAGTGTACAGGTTCTCTCTATTACCAAGTTTAAATGTTTTATTAAGCTGAAACTGTATAAAAAGGGTTATTATAGTATAAATGAATACATGGTTGATAATAACCCCTGGGAATGAGGTGATCGCTTCCAAGCAGTTTCTAAAATAAATTTTGTAAATAGTTCGTAATCATTTATATTGTAAAATTTATTTTTAAAAAAAAGTCCCGCTGGGTTTCTTGCTGGTTCTTCCCAGGACAGAGGGTTTTTTTCGAACCAGTGGTAAAGTAAAAAATGACTTTCAATAAGAATTACACATGTAATGTATATTGAATAAAAAATATTCTATTCTATTCTATTCTATTCTATCGACCCATAAAAAAGTCCACAGCTGGATATGAACCTCTTTTGAGGTAGGGAGGATTTACCTTAGGCGCTGTTCAAACGTAGACACTTTTGTGTCTTGTGTGGATACAAGCTACCAGATAATATTTTATTTTCACATCATCAATATGAATTCAGACACCTCATGCGAAGACGCAGACACTTTTTGTGTCCAGTTACTTCCACTTGACACATACCGTTTGCCAATCAAAAAGTGTTTGGTGAAGGTTATTGGAAACTAAAAGTAGTCAGTTGAAAATACAAGCAACATTAATAAAGATTGACGGCGACGAAGTTTATGTCGATGTATAATTAACATAAGAAACAAAAGTGATGTTTCTTCATCCACATCCATCGTGAAACTGACGGAAAACAAGCAACGCATTGTTACCAGTGCCCAAAACTAGCAACCGGCGCGGCGACTGTGTTCGATTGCCGCTACCGGACCCAGCAACTACAGTTTCCTGTGAAGGTGTGCCGTGTCGGTAACAAAAAGTGTCTACGTTTACGCAGCGCCTTAATCATCGTGATTGGCAGTCGGATGGACGATCGCAGTACGTGCGACGATCTCCTAAACGTGAGCACCCTTGACGCTGTTACCAATCGTCGATATGTGCATCTCACGTCTGACGTAAGCAAGTCGACTATACTGCCACCTAGAGGAAGCCATAACCCCGTCTATACACTATCGGCCATAATTGACAACCACAGAATGGAGCATGATTGTCACAATCATTGTGCATCGTGCATCCTACATATTTGTATTGTCATCTGTCCGAGATGGACGTTGAAACAGTTGCAGCTGCCGGTTTTCTTGAAAATTGTTTTGCATTAACCCATGAACGAATTACTGACGCAGTGGAGTTTAGTTGTATTACTTGTTTTACTAGGAATTGTATTACTAGGAAGTTCATACATTATCTTCCTCATTTTTAAGCCGTTATTGGAACGTAGTTCCTTATCGGACGGCACGAATTTGGCGGATGGGCGCTAGGCGAGAAAAATGTAAGACTATTCCGTCACGGCTCCTTCTGATAGTGTATGTGCCCTTGGCCAAAGAGAATATAATCACTACCCTTGGCGGCTATAAGGAAGCGAGACGGAATAATATCCATCTCCCTCGCACTTTTCCTTATCTTACCACGAAAGAAATATTAATTTATTTTAAATGACGCTTCATTTTAATAGACGCTAGTAATTCGTTTATTTGTATTTGTTAATCGATAATATAATACGTTTATCAATAATAATGTACTACGAAAGGAACTTTCCAACAGTGTGTTCCACGACACTCACGCATGTTTTGTATTAATTAGATGTGAAGGTTTGATTGCTTAGATTGTGTTTTTGTACTTTAACACTTGGTCGGCGACACATTTATACTCTGGTGAATGGTTCTGGATGCTGAAAGATATATGATGTGAAAGCCAGCCTCTCGTTGGTCGAGTGGTTGTCAACGCGACTGCTGTCCCTGAGGTCCCGAATCCCGGGTCGAGCCCAAAAAACATCAGTTATTGAGTTTTCCGTCAAAAAATTTTCAGTAGCTGCCCGGAGTCAGGAAGTTGGCGGTGTCTCACCCCCGTGTTCGGTAAGCACGTAAAGCCGTCGCTTGATTTCTCTCCGGTTATGTCGGTTTACCGTCCCATCGGACGCGCCGAGTGAAGACACCGACAGTGTACCTGTACCGAGGGCTAGTCTCCGTTGAGGCTGGCCGCCGTGACCGAAATTCGGTCTGGAGGACATTATCGACCAAGTGAGCGAGCTTTATGTGGGGGAAGATTCCAACTACAGTAGGCCGCCGCCGCTGAGGCTTTGTTACCCGTTCCGAAGTCTAACAAACGGTGAAAAAAATGTAAGTAGCTCAACATGAAAATAACGACTAGATACCTTCATCAGAACGTGGAGCAACAAAATTCGTATGTTTGTCTTCTGTAGCCAAAACCTGGGTACGAAATTCCGTCTGTATAAAATTGGTTTGTGGCAGTGGAGAGATTCTCTCAGTTGGTTGGTCCTGAAAAATTAGTTAATTATAAGATCTATACTAAATAAAACTTAGTAATGAGCAAATCCAAAAGCAAAGAAAAAAAAACTAACGTCAAATCCTGCCTCTTTTATTCCTAATCGACTGACAACAGAAGACAGTCCCATTATGCGCAACACCCTCTGTTCCAAGGCAGTGAGTGTTTGTCTACTGTTGGGACCACCGTTATCCCCACGGCGCATTACCAATGCCTTTTTCTTTGTCTTAGCTTTCCAATCAGCCCACACCTGAATATATTTATCTGTTAATTTTTCCTATGCGTGTTATCTTCATCAAATATTTAATAGTCTGTATATTATCCGTATTAATGCACTTCAAATTAGGTTTCTTTATCTACCATATCCATTAGCCTTTCAAAAGTCCACGGTTGAACATAGGCCTCAACCATTGATTGTCTCATAGGCGAAATATATTCCATAGTTGCTACAATTTTATTATTTTGAATTATTATTAACATTTAAGCGACAGTAGCCTAATGGCTAAGGATGCGGACTGTAAATTCGTGGATTACAAAGGGTGGACCTGCAAAGACATGGATTCGAATCGGCCATTCGACTACTGTTGTGGACCAATCCTAACACAATCGATACCAGTATTTTCTAAAAGAAAGTTACATTAAAATTCTTTAACAGAGAACTTTAAGTAATAATATAGTAATTAGGTACTATTTAGATTTTATGAAGGACATATGATGGCGGCGTAAGGTAATCTATCACCCCATTTCGTCATCATCATCACATCCTATAAAAAATCTGAAAAACGGTTGACCCTGCAGTCCATCCCCGGAACTTCCCGCTTTATACAACTCTAAAAATAAAAAAATTAGCCGTGGAAGGAAAAGCGTAGATCTCCCGCCGGGCAAGGTGTTCTGCCTGGAGAGTGGCCAACGTTCCGAGTCGTGGTTCGGAGCTATTCTATATATACTGCTTTTACTTCGGAACTTTAATTGCGCGATTAGCGCGACGACAGCCTCGCCACAAAAAAAAAAACAAATATTATATTAAAAATGTAACTGTTCGTATATTTTTATATTTGACCGATTATTAGCATTAGTATAAATTTGAATCATCCAAACACCAACGTAAGGTGCATAACGATATAACATTGAAACAACGTCAACCATAAAAGTTGATTCTGTTTAAAAAAAATTTATTTTGTTTTGTTTGAAAGATTCGAATTTAAACTAGTGATAAACTTGTAATAAAATAAAGGTATAATATAATCCATAATTCTTTGGATTTACATAAAAAGTTATTTTAAATCGTGTGAGTACGCTTGTACAAAGTTATTGAGGAATGATTAATGTGAAACGTCAAAAGGTATTTATTAGATATTGTCGAGTATAACAAGTATTACTATAGAAACAAATCTTATCTACAACGGGATTGGCTTACGTCCAGTGATGGACATTTATGGGCTAGTGAAGAAATGAAGAATAATAATAAGCTATCCTTCTTTAATAGATCCTTTAAACATAAATACTGTGGCATAATAATACAAGGTTCCAATCCATAATCTTACTGAATGAATAAAACAAATGAAAGAGTTAAGATTTTACTTTTTTCCATTTTTCCATTGGCTTAGTTACTCCTCCATCAATGGAGTTGAGTAACTCTCCCAGTTTCTGCCACAGACGGTCAGCCTTTATTCGGCCTTGAAGCCCTTGCTGGGGCCTGGTTATATCGCCATGACTAGAAAATACATTAAAACTATTTAACAAAACATATTTATTAAGCAAAGGTCGAACACCAGTAAATTATTTACAACATATGAAAGTGTCTCAGTATGAGAATTTAATCAAATTGAAATAACAAAGGTATTTTTAGATTTTCATAAAATATTTATTATTATACAGCATTATTTTGCAATTGCACAATAAGTAACATAGGCAAATGGTGAAGAAAAGTTGATAAAAAAAAAATCTCAAACATTCTGTCCTTTTTATCTTTTAAATTAAAAATGCGTGGTAATGCATTATCTTAACTGATTTTACTGCGCACGCACACATTCGTAAGGGTCGATAGGTAGGTAAAAACGTTATTGCCACAACACTTTCAATTTGGGACAATTTCAAATAATAGTACAAGTCTTATTTGATCTTATTTTCAAAAACTGTAATAACGGTATATAATGATATATATATATATATATATATATATATATATATATATATATTTGAAGTTAAGTTTAAAATTTGGCACTTCGAAAAAAAAATCCCTGTATATAGATAAGAGTGATTAATGAACTTACAAGCCTGATGGTAATTTTAGTGCAGACCATAGAAACCAGCAGCCAACGAGGCTACAGATACGGCGCAGGTACTGCTATTTGACGGCAGTAATATTATTTAACATACCATTCCATGAATTCACACAAAGCCGCAAACTGCTCCGGGCTAGCTCGAGATCTGGGTTCAGCTTCCACCCTAAAAAGTTATCACTTTATTATTTCTATAAAATTTGAGGATAAACAAAATGATTTAAAATATATATATATATATATACAAATGAAATAAATATATATATAAAAATATTACACAGTCAGGTCATCTTGGCTAGCACTTTCTAAAATCTACTAATACTAAGGCGTTAGTAATTGTATAAAAATGATAGATACGTAAAATTTGTATATTGGCTCTATGCCTGGAGTTTTAGAAATTATGAAAAAACATTAAAGCCAATGCCATTCTTCCGGAATAAATGCTTTGGTATTACCGTGTAGTGGCGGTGTAAGAATAGCCACTACCACACATCATCCCGTGAGTGTCTGTATTTTTTTTATAGGATAGGGTGACAAACGAGCACACAGTCCACCTGATGGTAAGTGGTTGCTGTGACCCATAGACATCTACATTTATCCTCAATAAAGAATCAAAAAGCAGATGCGTCGTCACCCGTGAGAACTAAAATGGAATGCCTCTTTTCCAGTAAAATGGGTCTCTGGTTCTCTACACTAACCATACGAAACACAGCAGTATCAAGCTGCCATTTTACGCTGGTATTTTGTGAGAGCGTGGACCTTCCCCGATCGAGCCGAACCATTTTTGCTACAACTATACTACTAATGTAGCTTCAGCATGGCTCTACAACCTATAAAATTCCCAATAACGACTAAAAATAAAAAAAAATGTTTTTTATTTTGGAGCAAGCCATGGAGGGGGCCAGCAGTGGACTTTAGTAGGCTGTAACGGTAAATGCTTTGGTTTATTTTTGAAAAAGCTTATGATCCAAAGCACAATACTTAGCTATGTAGAGGTAATTATGTCTAAAAGATTATAATGTCAATGCGACAGTAGCGTAATCAGGGTGCGGACTATGAATTCAAAAGGTCGTGGGTTTGAATCCGTCATTCGACTACTGTCATGTACCACACCTAACATAAGCGTTTTAAGATTATCAGGAGTGGTTAAAGGGAATATATATAAATGTTTATAGCATTGCTAGTATGTTTTTTATAAAATAAGATGATCATACCATTCTTGGAGTTCCAAACTTTATTAGATCAAACATTTGTGTGAAGGAACTTGATAGAAATCAGTGCCCCTCTTCACATTAGATTTATTTATTAAAAAATACACATCTACATTTTTTTTAAATCAAGTAATATTCATATTCAGAGCCCCAAAAAAGTAAAACCTATTGTTTTTAATATTTTATCTTAAAATAATAAAACATTAGTGTTTTTTAATACCAATATTTCAAAAACTATTTGATATTCCACTTTTATCAATAACTCTGGGTAAACAATAAACACACACAAGTTAATTTCAGAATAGATGCAGAGGTGACTTTTTATTTATGACAGTTTATTACAAAAAGGAAATTATAAAGTTACTTGTGCTTGGGATCCTATAATTAAATCCAAACCCGAGCAACCACTGCATGACTTCAATATACAATAAGCTCATTCTGCACAGATTGACGGCTCTGTGGCGCAGTGACTTAGCAGTGAGTTGTTGCGCAGGTGGCCGCGGGTTCGAATCCCGCTCGGAACAAGTATTTGTATGGGCTACAAATAATTGTTCCGGGTCTGGATGTTTGTCCTCGTGCAATTTATGTTTTTAAACTGCCTGAACGATACAGAAGAAAATCCTAGTGTGGGGGAAAGATTTTAAAAAAGAAAGAAAGAAAGATCATACTAAAAAGTAATATAAATTTGTATCTGAAATTCTGAAAAGCTAAATTGTGTTGTATAATGCTACTTTAATAGTTAATAATCAATTCTTAATTACTAACTTATCTCCAGCATAATAAATATCCTCATGATCATCTTTTGAACCATTCCCTTCCAATGTTCTTGGGTTATCTTGCTTTTCAAATGTGTCAGTCTTTCTTGGGGATTCACATGTGTACAGAGATTCAGATTTGCATTCTGAATCTTCATCTGGTTCTTCTTTTATGTAAATTTCCATACAATGTAGTTGATCATCCTTTGGTTGCTGTGAACAAGTATAATATTATTTCACATGTCTGGTTTTACATACAGTTACAGTAGCTGAACCTAGGCTAGAGATTGACTCATAGGGAAGATATTTGGCATAGAGGCTACGCTTCGCAAGCGGGTTGGCAACCGCAGTTTTTTTTTTATTTAGTCGTTATTAGGACGACGCTGCCGCCCATTTCGTGATTTGTTCCCCTCTGTTGCCTCTTACGACACCCACGGGATGATATGGGGTAGTGGATATTCTTACACTGCCACTTCACCGTTTTTCATGTCTGTCCTGATTTCATGTAAAATTTTTTTGTTGTTGAGTTTCGTAGTGTTTGTAGAACGTTGTGTAATTTTATAGTTGAAGCAAATGTCATGGAGCTTGGGGCAGGTCCCGTTTTACTTTCATTGTCATTTTAACTGAACTTACCCCCTTTTCTTTCACATTTATGTTTTTGGTGGGATTATATTATAACATGATTCGGTTCATAAAATGTGAATATCTATTCTATCAAATAAAAAAGGCTAAAGATGCATTGCCGCCTCCTTCGATCAACAATAATATAGATATCGGGTAGGCGCAAAAAATACGTCCAAGTAAATAACAGCGCACTGGCGACGTGAGCTCATATTTCGTTTAGTTGACTTGAAACACAACCAATGTAAACACGTTTCACAATACCGCAATGTACATTTAAAAGTTGCAAGAATAATGCCCGAAATAGAAATTTAACAGCCGGGGTGTCTTACTTTCGGTAAGTATGTGTAGAATAAGTTATATTTTAAGCTCTAAACTAGCAACTATTATCATATTTGAAACAAAATTACCGATTTTAAAGCACCCCTACAATGTTTTGCCAAGATTGGCCAATACACGCGTAAACATTTGTGAAACAGAACAGTAGAGTACATGGAGTAGATTTGTATTGTAATCATTTTTAGTAATTTGTTACCACAACTTTAAATAATGGTAATTGCTACTTTTGTCTCTGTTTGTGTAATTTCATTAGATACTTAGCTTTATTGTTTTTATTTTAGCTTTCCTAGCAATTCGTTTATGTGTGCAGAATGGATCTCACAAAAATATTTAGTGATATTTTTGTTTGTGACATCCAGCTATCAAGACACCTTTGCCAGCCGCCGACATTACATACATTTGAAAAACAAAAAGTGTACTTAGTTTATTACTTTTAGTGTACGGCATATAAAACACTGATAAATTAAATAATCATTTTATACACCAAACCTTCAATTAATAGTATTTTATTTATTTATTATTCTTTATTGCACACCAACACAAAGAAGTAAGCAATGGGCGGTCTTATTGCTAACAGCAATTTCAATCAAATCAGCAAACAGAAACGAAAAAAAACGACGTAGCTTGCAAGGCAATAACGGGAAAAAGTACTTTAATTTGTTATTACTTAAGGTTGATTTCACACTAATTGTTATTTAACCTATGTTTTTTCATTTCAAAGTGACAGGAGTAATGCATTGAATTGTTGTTTTTTGTAACTAATGATCGTAAGATTTGTGACTTTATTACTAGAAGCCATGGTTGTAATTGGGTTGAACATAAAACTGTTTTAATTTTTTGTCTCAGTTCTTTAGTAAACAAATGTAGCTGTATAATTATATATTCAAGCGGACAGCATTTAGCTATGATTTTGTACGTGACCCGTTATCTAGTTAGTATTGTTGGTCGAAGGCCGCCTCTAAGAACTATTATGTAATTAATGCCTCACATGCTATCTATACCCTTCACAGCGAAACAGCAGTGTGTGCACAGCAGAAACAGAAAAAAAGGCCAAGTGCGAGTCGGAATCGCGCGTGAAGGGTTCCGTACTATCGTACAATATTTCATACTATGTAGGTAGCACGTATGTCAAGAGGTTCTCACTACGAGGTCTTCTAGCAAACATAGGGTTTTATGTTGATTCTAATTTTAATATTGCTACACTTCACCGCGATTTTTTAAAACAATATACCTGTTCGCGAAGGCAAAAAGTGTTTTAAAACATAGTGATTAAAAACAATATTAAAAGTGTAATTAGGAAAAATATTAGTAACAAACCTAAGTAAAAGGTGCAATAGTATAATTTTACAACATGTTTACAACCTTAGTATTATAGTAAGAGCATCGTTTGGTAATAGTTAAGAAAAAACTCTTATTTGTACAAACAAAAAGACGACCAATCAGAGCGCGACACGTTATAGTAGAACATTCTAGGCATTATTAATTAACTGCATATTATTTAATCCCGAAAATGATGGAAATAATTTTTATGCTCTAGAAGAATTGTAAAAATGATATTTAATTAGATTAAGACTTATAGATTAAGGAAATAAAATAATATTTAGGGTGATGAAACATATTTCCTATTATAATAACTTTAATCTTTCCTAATATTCTGAAAAGGAGATGTTCTAGAAATGTATGGAGCCTGGGCTAGCACTATGTACACTATATGTAAATACCGCTATATAATATAGTAACCGTTTTTTATTGTTAGTTTTCTTTAATTTCACTTCGTTTCAATGTACATTCAAATTAACTTAGTCAAGGAGAGCAACACAACATTAAATTAAACATGGTGGATCACACAGAGAAAACCATAGACTTAGTATAGAAAACACGAAATGTCATTTTGACATTTAACATTTTGATTGACGTGTATTGTAATATCAACAATAAAAAAAAACAACACGAATTTCGAAAATCTTGGATGGATACGATAAACTTAGACTACAGGATATTCAACTGGATTGCGGCAGCACATCTTATATCACCTATTAGAGTAGTTAGAGATTGGTTATATCGAAATGAAACGAAGGCTTGAAAGTTATTTTGTTTATTAACACTTTCCTGCTGCTTTATTCTTTAGTGCATATCAATATATTCTGGATTTCGATAATTCATAGGCGAGCAGTGATCTGTGCAGTGTCTGACAACTGCAAGTTATTGTTAAAGTAGATAACTATTCCTATTACACAGTAACAGCTGAGAAGATACCAACTATTTTAATTCAATTAGGCAGGAGCAGCATAATCAGCCTATAATGTTCCTACTGCTGAGTGACACCGGTGCTTCTATGCTCTCTTGGTACTGAGCCCAATACAAACACCACACAGTGGTCATGACATGAGCACAGCAACCCATTGTCTGATGTCTGGAGATACAATTACAATAATAGCTAATTATTTTATCATCCCCACTTGATCCTTCCCTTGCCAGCAATATGTAGGTATAATATGTTCGTCCTGAGCTATGTCGAGTTTTTATACAGGCTTTTATTAAAAAGGATCAAGTTGGGATGGGGTTGCTTCTGCTACTACTTCCAGTTGGTCCGATACTTCTACCTGAAATGATCCATGTTGCCTAATATGTTCCCCGAAATAGCTTCAAGCCAGTTTTATTTGATAGGTACCCAGCCCAAAAAGTATCAATTCAGACATAGTCATTTTAGGGAAAATACTTAACTCTGGAAGTTGACCATCAATTCTTATGAATTGGGCTCTAAAGCGGTTGATCCGGTTAGCAATTATAAATTCTGCTAACCGTAATGATTTCTTATATTTACGCGAACACTACACATTGAATAAAATTATTTTTACGGATTTTATTACTTATAATCTGGGGTAAAAGCACGGATCAAAATAGAGCATTTAGTGCACAAAAAAAATGCATCAGAGCAATATGTGGGCTTAAACCAACTGATTCATGTCAACAGATGTTTAAAAAACTTGACTTATTACCCTTCCCGTGTCTTTATATTTATGAAATATGCATGTTCATATGGAAGCATAAATATTTATTTAACATGGCAAATGATGCAAATCCTCGAAACCGACGAAATCCATACAAGCTCATTTTAAGTAACACACCTAGAATAAGTAAATATAATAAAAGTTGTCTATCTATGTGTGTACGTATTTATAACAAGTTACCAAATGATCTAAAAATATTAAATACTAAATTATTTAAATCTAAATTACAAGAATACCTAACTAAGAATAATTTCTACAGCATTATAGACTTTTTTAATCATAACCCTTAATGTACAAAACAAAACTTTTGCATGCTATATGTAACTGTAGCAAAACATGTTGCTCAATTGTATATTATTTGTAAAACCTTTTCATACCATGTTTAAGCAAATAAATATAATATTATATTATTATTATATTTATCGCGTTTAATTAACTTATTTTATATTCCCGACGTTTCGGTTGCTTTCCAGCAACCGTGGTCACGGGGGACCACCGTGACCACGGTTGCTAAATAAGTTAATTAAACGCGATAAAATCCGTAAAAATAATTTTATTCTGCTAACCGGTTGGGCATATTTGCACTCTGTATTGTGCAAGTATAGCTACAGCATTTGGTCTATTTTCAATCACTGGATGGAAGGCATTAATTATAACATTGTCCATCAAATGGGTGGCAGCCAAATCAAAATATTCCTGTCTCAGTTGCTTAGTCTCTTTTAAATCGACCATTAACTATCTCTACCACCCATCTGCATAGTGTCACACACACCTTGTCTTGTTTGTATTGATGGTCGATAACTGAGTCTCTCCTTGTTCTAAGGATTCATGTTTAAATACTTTGAAGCCCAACCCCTCTAGCATTGGAATGGAATCACGAAAGCCTCGATACAAAATGAAAACATCATTGGGCTGAAAAAAAGCCCTTAGACCCTCATTTTCATTTTGGAACAAAGCTTTCATGGTGTCATAATCTGATTTGGTTGTTTTTTTTTTTTTATAAGATAAGGGTGACAAACGAGCACACAGTCCACCTGATGGTAAGTGGTTGCTGCGGCCCATAGACATCTACATCTATCTTCGATTACGAATCAAAATGCAGATGCGTTGTCACCCGTGAGGACTAAGATGGAATGCCTCATTTCCAGTAAAAAGGGTCTCCGGTTCTCTACACTCACCATATGAAACACAGCAGCGTTAAGCTGCTATTTTACGCTGGTATTCTGTGAGATATTGAGTTGG